GCCCCGGGCAACTCTTACGCTTCTTTCGTGCTCTCCAAACTTCCCTCGTGCTCCATAACTCGATAGTGCACGCTAAAGCATGAACCAATTGTTAAATATCCACCTATCGCTGTTTTCGTCGGAAATAAGTTCTTTAATTATTCCTCTTTCGCTGGAGCTTGTTTTTTCGGAAAAGATGATCTTTAAAAAACTAGTGAGCATTGTGTTTGCTTTCTTGGTTTCTCCAAAATTTTGACGTTTGACAGGCACGTGTTACACGTAAGTGTCAGTTGGTTTAATCTATACTTAATGAATTTTGGCTAAAAACTATTAATATATGTAAAGAAATTTTATTGAAAAATTTTCACTTATTGGGAGCTCCGCTTTTAAGCTTGGCTAAACCTTCATATTAGTATTGGCAATTGTGGTGCTGCTTCACTCTCTCGGGCCCTTTCAGTCAATACTACATTGACCCAGTTGGACTAAAATCTTAATACTATTGGCGATTCCGGTGTTGCTTCTCTCTCTCTCAGGCCCTTTCAGTCAATACTTCATTGACCCAGTTGGACTAAAATCTTAATACTATTGGCGATTCCGGTGTTGCTTCTCTCTCTCAGGCCCTTTCAGTCGATACTTCATTGACCCAGTTGGACTAAAATCTTAATACTATTTGCGATTCCGGTGCTGCTTCTCTCTCTCAGGCCCTTTCAGTCAATACTACATTGACCCAGTTGGACTTAGATCTTAATACTATTGGCGATTCTGGTGCTGCTTCCCAGGCCCTCTCTCAGGCCCTGTCAATCAATACTACACTGACCAGGTTGGGCTTAGATCATGATAATATCAGCGACTTTGGTGCTGCTTCTCTCTCGCAAGCCCTTTCAGCCATGCAATACTACATTGACCCAGTTGAACCTTCAGGCTCTTTTGTTAATACTAAATTAACCCATTTTTAGTGGAGTCAAATTAGATTGGTGTTCCGTCGATGTGTTTTTTTCACGGGTATTTCCTTTATTGCTTTATCGCGGACCATTTTTAAATTGGATTGGGTATTGATGGAGTGTTTCTGGTGTTGCTTTCTTCGTAGACTCCTCTCAATATTGACGTATCTGGGTATCAGGATGAGTTACGTTTCTATTGATGTGATGGGAGCATTTGGATATGAAGAAAATTGTCGCAAAAATAGGGATATGCTCTCTCAAATGAGCAACAAGTTATCTGCACTCCTATGGGAAACAATAGAAAGATTCAATGTGATATGAATTGTAAATATTTAACAATTATTTGACGAGGTTGAGCAAAATATCGTGATTTGTCCGTGGCGAGCAGATCAATTATTTGCCGAAGCCGAAGACTGAGGCAAATAATTGATCTGCGAGACACTGAAAAATCACGATATTTTGCGATAACCGAGTTCAATAATTGTTCTATCATTCGATCACCGAGTTTGTTTTCAATTTTTTGGGGGACGCGGCAAGCGCGCACTGCTGCCAGAAATCAAATGGTTTCCTTCTCAGTTAAATAATTTATTCTGTCGACTTTAAATTGTACGTACAGTCAACTCAGTGTTAATTAACAAAATGTATGCCTTCAAATGGCTGAAACTTCCAGGAACAAGTTCAC